ATCATTTATAACCCATAAAGAGCCCACAAATTAACCCATTTAGAGACCCAAAGTTAACTTGGGTCGAATTTGGTTAAACTTGATCAATAAAGTTAAAATTAGTCAAATAAAGTCAAAATTATGCAAAACTTGATCAAAATGAATAGAACCTGGGTCAGTTTTCAAAATTCATAACCTAATTAAAATCAATATAGTTTAAAAGTTAAAATTGGTGATTTTTAAAACACTAAATTTTTATTGCAATTGAAGAAGTGCAAAATTACTAAAATGCTCTTTAGATGTGTTTTCATAATTTGATTTTTTTAAGCTCGAATTTTCATAAAACTTTTCATATCTTAAATTCATAATATTTCATGATTTTTTATGCATTTAAAATCATAGCAGTACTCCAATAAGTGTGAAATTATGAAAATATCACAGGGATATTTTCATAGTTTGGCCTTCTCGAGTTTGTATTTTCATAAAACTTTTCAGATATTAATTTCATAATATTTTATAATTTTTGACACATTTAAAATTACAGTAATACCTCGGGAGGTATGAAATTGCCTAAATATCCTTTAGGGGTATTTTCATAATTTGATATTTTCGAGCTTAGATTTTCATGAAACTTTTCAAATCTCAATTTTATAATATTTCATATTTTTGGTGCTTTAAAATCTAAAAAATGAGCATGAAAACATTGATTTATAAGAAAACAACCTAATTATAAAAAACGACCTATTAAGGGTAAAATGATCTTTTCATTTGGTTTAAAAGCTATAAAAATTTAATATTTGCAATGAATAATGTAGACCATTAGATCTCTTATTAAATCTTGATCTAATGGCTAAGGATTGCTCCTTGAATAAAAAGAGGAAGGAACTTTGTTCTTTAGATGAGATTTGATGCAAAGGCTTATATTTAATCTTGTAAATATATTTTGGTGGTTTCCTTCTTGAAAAGAAAGGGGGAAAGGAGTTGAAGAAAAAGAGGGAAAGGAGGAAAAAAATGAAAAAAAAAAAGGGAAAAGGAGAAAGAAAGGAGTTTTCTTGAAAAAAAAAAAAGAAAAAAAGAAAGGAGAAGAAGCCATTTTGAATGAGGAGATCTTGAGTAAAAAAAACAAGAAACATAAATGAAAGTTTTTTTTTTTTTCGGTCATTGTTTGTGCCCAGTAGAGAGGGAAGGCCCTCAGTCAGCACAAACAAAAAAAAGAAAAGAAATGTAGTTTCATAACTATTCTTTTTTCATGAATTTTGGACATGAATAAAGATTCACCTTTTCTTTTATGTTTGTTGACTTCCTTAGGCGTGTAATATGTAAGTAAAAATATAAAGCTTCCCCTTTCATGCTTGTTTAAATTCTCATTCTTTTAATAAACGATGCTTTCTTTTCTTTTCCTCTTGCCATGCGAACTTATTACCTAGGGATTCAAAAATTGCTTTCTCTTGCTTGTTTGTTTATTTCTGCATGGATGTGGTTATGGTTCACAATAGCTTGAAATTTCATCTTAGTCGAGGTCATGTATTTTTTCTTTCTCCTTATAGCATAAAAATATTAAAAAAAAAAAAAGAAAGCCATGTAAAGAAGACAACAAAGCTTTGTAGGGCTACACCGGTTGCATAATTTTTAGGAATGAAGAATAGAAGAAAATATTTAAAAAGGAAATCCATGGCGTGGGGAAAGTGGTAATTAAAAAAAAAAAAAAAAGGAATAAACATGCATGGAAAGCCATGACGTAGGGCTTTATTGCATTTGTATTAATTTCAATTGCCTTTCATGTGCGCTGGCAATGAAAGAATAAATTTCTTTTGATTAAAAAAAAATACATATAAGTATGCATGGAAAGCCATGGCGTGGGGCCATGGTTTTCTAGCATAATTGGATTCTATATATTTCTTTTGGCCCTGACATAAGTATAATAATAAAAAGTAGAGTAGTAATATAGAAATTCTTTTTACTTAGGATCTTGTGATAAATATAATTTTATAAAATTTATAAGACTCAAAGTTTATTCTCAAGTTTATTTTTATGTGTGTTAATTTTAATTATATTTATATTTTATTTTATGTTATTTAAATTTAATTTTATGTCTTGTTAATTTTTTTATTATTTGAATTTTTTTGCTCATTTTAATTTAATTTTTCATACTTAAATTTATATTTGATATATTTTATTTTTATTTTTCATGCACTTTAAATTTATGCATAATAATAATAATAATAATAATAATAGCAATAACAATAATAAATTTTATGCAAAAAAGTAAATATATATAAAATATGTAAGAATATAAAAATTTATTTTTTAAAAGAATTATAAAAACGAATTGCTCTGAAAGTTTATCTAAATATTGGAGATTTTTAGAGAGATTCGTAAGTTCTTAAAATTTAAACTAAAACCTACCCAAAACCCCAAATTCGTTTTAAATTTTAAGGATATGCATAAAAATTTTTTAAGAAGTAATATATTTTCAAATGTTACCTAGATGTTGGGATTTTTAGAAAATTTTATTTTATTAAGAATTTTCATACATTTTTGTAGCTAAAAAAAATTTTTTTGTTAAAACAACAAATATAAAAAAATAATAGTATGGATTTTAAATATAAAAATATCTCACTCAAACTCTGCTTAGATGTTGGAGAGTATATGTGATCTTTTTTATTTGAAAACTCGATTCTTAAATTTGTATTTGATTTCATTTGCATATATTTCATTTTTATATTAATATCCTCACTTATAATGCATATATATATATATATGTTTGCTCTAGTTATGAATGTTTAATATTAATTATATTATTTTTTATTTTTTTTACATAAAAAGTTTTCTTAAAATTTTTTAGTTTTGAACAAATAAAATTAAAATAACATTATGTGAAATATAATTGTTAGTACTCTACCTAGATGTTGAAAAGTCATCAATGATTATTATTTACAAAGAGTGTTATTTTATTATTTTATAATGAATCTTATGATAAATCTTAAATAGTAATTTTTACTTTTACGTCGGAGATTTTGAAGATATTTTTTTAATTTAAAGATTTTCATAATATTCTTAAATAATTTTTTTAAATTAATTTTATTTCTTACAAACAAAGGAAATTATAATTAAATTTATTATAGAAAAACATTTTTATTCCAAAATTACAAATAACATATAATTAATTGACACCAATTTTGTGGGCATTGTGGATGTGCTAATCTTTTTTCATATGTAACTGATTTTTTAACACAATCTATTTTCGTAGACTAAAATTATCTTTTTAATAAAGCTTGAAACATGTTTTATTGTTTTATTAAAATATAAAATTTTTTGATAATCAATCAAACATTAAAAATAATTGATGGTAATTTTTTGTGTTTTTCATAATTTTTAATTTTTTTCTCTAATAATTGAATTTTTAGATCGATATGTCATGACAATGACATGATTACTTTTAAATTGTTTTTAATAGTATTTAAGATTTATATTTTTTGGTTATTTATATTAGAGGCATTTATGGATAACCTGATATAAGTGATAACAAACAAAGAAAATAAGGTAGTGCCTCTGGATATGGCGCGAGGCACTTAAAACTAGTATTGAATATTCAATTTGTTGTCAAGTCTGGTTGATGAATCATGAACTTGTGATCAGAGCATGATTAACATCTTCCTGGTTCCTGTTAGACCAGCTGGAAAACTAGAGGATCGTTCTCGGCATGGTTTTTAACCAGCTGGGATGGTCACTGGGTTGTCTGACAGACTCTCCCAACTTTTTTGAATTTAATTGATTTGAGTAGAAAACTTTTCAAATATGGCCGGTACTGCACAAGCAAACTGATGAAAAAAAGTTCGAACTGGTGTGTTTTATAGATAGAAGCATTTGGGAGAATTGATTTTAGAATTGTTCAATTGACAGTTAAAAAACTTTTTACTTATTTGATCATGTTACTGAACCACTTCTATTTTTTTTCAAGTTTATCTCTTATGTGTTTTATTTAATTTTTAAAATGATGGCTATGCTAGGAGATTTAATATCCAATTTTAATGTTTCATTGAAAGATGAATTTAAAACTTCTTTTTAAGAGATTAAACCATATATTTAGTTTAATCTATTTATTTTTAGATCATATCCAATTGGTTAGCAATTCAAACTTTAGTTATTAAACATTACTATATTTTGGAAGGAAGTTTACATTTATGCTCCCTAGCCTAATCTCTAAGTGTAAGTTAGCTTCTATATAGTGAAAGTTAGCTTCTATATAGTGATTTAAATATCAGTCGCGTTTCTTCTTCGGTAAATAGACATTTGTTTAGAAATTTTTTTTAGATATTTCATGTTTTTATGTAAGATTTTATTATTTATTGCATTATTCTATTTATTGATTTACTCTTATTAAAATTAAATATACATCACCTATTTGAAATATGAATGTGATTTTATAAAACTATTTATGACATTTTTGCTATCAATGAAAAACTTCAAAGTCGATAACTAATAATTTGTAATTTTCTAAATTTTTTTTTTTAGCTTCACCTATTAAAACATTTTTATTTCATAAATGATGTTTAAGATCATTTTTTTAAAAATTTATTTTATTTAAGTTTACTTGAAGCATAAAATTTTAAATGAATGAGTTGAAAATTGAACTTATGCATTATCATTTGACAATAAATTAAAATTTATTTTGATCTAAAAACAAAAAAGATAATTATAATATTAAAACTTCTTACCTTATCGCATATTAGCACAAAAAAATAAATAATAAATAAAAATTTTTTAAAAATTTACATCTTTGGCGAAACTGAGGGAACCCACTAATAATAATAATAATATATTTATTAAAAATAATAATACCATAATATATAATTGTTATTAATATAAATATATATTAATCATAGCAAAGTTAACCAGGTCAACACTATCAAAAAGTACATATTATTACACCACCCCCCCCCCCCCCTCCAAAAAAAAAAAAAGAGACGAGAAAGAGCTTTCATGTTTGCCTACGTTCCTTCGCATATAAGTTCATAAGGTTCACACAATTTTCAACAGTTGATTACAAAAGCATAATTGGTTCAGCAATCTCAATATATACAAGTTCATTTCAAACTAAGAAATCAAAAACTCATAGCAATTCTTTTCTCACCTTTTTCCTTCTTTCTTTCTTTCAACATTTAGCTTAGGAATTGATACTGCAGATGGTAGGACCCAAAAACTTTTGAAAAGGCAGATGGCTAGCTCCAACCTGTCAAACCTAGGCGGTCCGCAACATTATACATTACTAGTTGATCCCAGATTGAGCCAAAAAGATGTTCTCCTCCAATGGCAAAAGTCAATGCCCAAGAACACAAAATAGCTGAAAACACTGTGAACCCTACTGCTGATCCAACAACATCTGCAAAAAGAAATATTTATTAAAACAAATAAACAATAAATCCCAAAATTTACAAGAAAAGAAGAGAGGTTACATATGGGAAATTTAAAGGATTGTTTTGCTTCAAGCAACACAATTATGAATATTGATATTTTTCTCAACACCACCCCCAACCCCCATAAGATGACGTACAATCATGCCAACTTATAAAAAAACCACTTCTACAATGTCACAAGAGTAAACTGATGATACAAAATCAAAATCTTAACGTAATGTTGATGAGTTTTTTTGCAATCAAAAGAAAAATTCATGATTTGTTCCCAGTATCAAAACACCATGAGAAAAAAGCATGCAAACTTGTGATGAAGAATAATAAATTCATAGCTGAATTCAGATGCAAAACCTTGAAATTTAAGCATTACCATTTATACTTTAAACTTTCACCCAAAAGAAGAAGAAAAAACAAGCATAAGTTTAACAAGATGTATTGGCCTAATGTTGCCAAGAGCACAAGGCATGCTTAAGTCACTAGGACCCTTTTATCACCCAAGGTGCAAGACACAAACAAAACACTCGCTAAGTGAGTTAGGGCGCATTTATATTCTTAGGCCTAAGTCTTTGGTTGAGGATTCAAAGTTTAGACTCTTATCTTACCCTAATAAAAGAGTTTGATGATTGTGGCTCCATCTCTAACAAAACTTCTTGGATAGACTATATTTTCTTTTATTTGACTCTTCCATAGATATTAGATATTGTTCTTTTTTTTACTAAAATAACAACTAAAGGAAATTAAAAAAAGGTCAAAGTTGCACTTTAGTTGGCAATAAGTGCACAAGGCATGCACCTGATCAAAGGCAGCTCTTCTTGATGGGTGCATGGTGCTTTTGCTGTTTGGCACTGCATATCAGCGCCTAGGCATGTACCTTAACAACACTACTATGGCCAATTGAAGCATTTCCCTCCTTATATTCAAGGAAAGCAGTAATGTGCACAAAAACTAGTTATTTCAGTATTGGTCAAACAAAAAATAATTCTGAATAAGCAATGCATGTTTGCCAACAATAATGAAATAAGGAGGGTTGTCAACAGCATTGAGAGTCTAGTGCAATTCCACATAATTCTCGGCTAAACATTTCTGCTTCACTGTTTATAAATGTATCCATCATAAAGATAGTCTTTTCAGTTTCTTTTTTGTAGCCTTTTCAGTTTCTTTTTTCCAACCAAAGTGACCAAGTCAGCAAAGACTTCTTATTTCTACAAGCAAAATAGAGGATTAAGTGAGACTCCCAAATTAAGAATAAACATCAGAATTTTAGATAGAAAAGGATCGAAAAGATTTGCTATGAACCTCTAACCTTGCCAAATGCTAGATTGTTTGCAAAAGGCATAACAGCTCTACCATCTCATTGTAGAACTTGTGTTGCTAAGGTGTGCTTAGGAGCTAAGGCGCATATCCAAACAACATTAAGGCACAAGGTGTCTTTGATCAGGTGCACCAATTTGTTCACTTTGGTGCACCATTTTTTGAGGTGAATGGCGGAAGAAAAGCTTACCCAGCCAAAGTGTCTCTCTGATTTTTTTATTGGTGATTATCTTAATATTTAAAAAAAGGATAATATCTAATATATATAGATTATAGAAGAATAAATAAAGGTCATGTTTAGTACATAAGATTATGATAGATTAGGATAAAATGATATTATGAATAGGATTAGATTAACTAATGTCATCTTATCTTATGTTTGATATGTGCAATGATGAAGATAGGATAATATATTTATTGGTCAAAAGTATCCTTCCTCAAAATTTATATAATTTAAATTATTGATATAATTTTTAAGGGTATAATAGGACATGTAAGTTTAATCTTATGGATTAAAAAAAATCCTCTCCACTTTAGGAGCATTGAATGATCATATACCAAGAGGATGATAATCCTTCTTATAATCTTATCCCTTTCAATTAGATACAAACCAAATATAGAATGATTATCATACTATCCTATCCATCATCCTATGCACCAAACATGACCAAAGTGTAATACAGTCTATCCAAAACTTGTAGTTGGAGATGGAGCCATGAACCACCAAATTTTTTATAAGGATAAAATATGAGTCTTTAAAAAAAAGCTGCTCAACTTTGAACACTCAACAGCAAACTTAAGCCCACAGTCAATCAAGCATCATAGAGCATATTTGGTTATTTGAAAAAGGCAAGTTATTTTTTTCTATTATTACTTAAAATTTTCTTCTCATCTGTCTATGCTCTTTACCTACCCCCCAACCCCCTTTTTCTTCTTCTTTTTGCCTTCTTCCATCTTTTGGTTTCATAAAGAACAGAAATTGCCTCTGTTTTTTAGCTCTCATAACAGGGGTCAGGGGGGGTATTCCTCTGGTTTTTCTCTTTAGAAACTGAGCAAGAGCTCTGGTTTTATCTTTCAACACGGAGAACCGCTTGCTCTAGTTTCTTCATTCAGATCAGAATCATAACCTTCTATCTTATTATCCCAAAAGCAAAAACGTAATGTCCTTTTTCATCATAAAGAGAAGTTAGCAAACTTTCGGTTATCTTTTTCTGGCTTAAGTTATTTATACTAACAATTGCTTTTTTCTCTTCAAATTAGGGTAGCAAGTTTCAAATGGCAAGTAATTTTGCTGCTACAAGTGGTAATAATAAAAAAGACCCGAAGTGGAACCACAACTTTCTTTGTTTATATAATTATATAAATATTAAAGTTCATTAACAAAATTATATATATGTGTATTGCTTCACTCAAACCAGTTTTTTGCACCTTGCACTTGGGCAATATAAGGGCCCTAGCACATAAAGTGCGCCTTGCACTCTTGAAAACATTGTAGAGAACTACTTCCTCACTTCTCTACAATGTACAAATCAAGAGAAAGGAGAGAGACAAGTGTTGCTTGGAAATACCAAACAATTTACCTATCCATCTTAGTAATGCCAATTATGGAGCAAAATAAGTTAATTGGTATGACTTTCAACTTTGCCAATTAGTCATATTCATTGTGAAATCAAATTCTCGGCAATATTGCAAATTGTGGTGTTGGACCTCAAATGAAGACTACTGATTTCATATGAAACTGTACAGAAGCTCCGGTTTACTAGCTTCCAATATACAAAACATAATGCAATGACAGCTGCAGACTTGCAATTAAGTAGGCCACAACAACTTAAAATAAAAATGCATTTGATTATTGCAACATCTTCACATTCAAGTCTAAAGAAAAATACGGCCAAAAAATAAAGTCTAAAGAAAATATTTATGGCAAAATAGTGATTAGCAAATAGCTAGAACATAACATATACATCCAACCATGATTGTTCAATATAAAAGTAAACTCATGTATTTCTGTTAATAAAAAATATTTAATTTTTTAATTTTAATTATTCAAAATTAAGTCTACTTTTTTCTTAAACCAAATGAACTTTTATACTTTGCTTCCTAAAGCCAAAAAAAAAAAAAAAAAGGTAAAACAACAACAATAGCTAATGATTTCCATAGATTGATATAATATTTAGCACCTTAAACCAATATGCAAGTCAGGCATCAATGAAAGAAAAAAATAAAATAAAATTTTACAATTAAAAAAAAACCTTAATCTTGAATCTAGATCAATTCGCTAAATGCAAAAACACCAGAACATCAACAAGAATTTGGAAATCAGTTCGAAAATTAATAAATTAGATTATAGGCGTAGATAAATCAATGAAGGAAATTAAAAAAGTATGAGAAGAAAGAATAATTACAAGGGCGAAGGCTAGGGAAGGAGCGAGAGTGACGGAGAACTGGCCAGAAGTAGAAGCAATTGACAGCCCAAAGCCAAGGCAGAAGCGCGTAGCCGAACTTGTAAAACCTCCGCGCGTAGGACAACGATTCATCCTCCGACAGGCCCAACGGACCGTCGATTGTGGGCCACACTGGCGTCGATGACAGTATCGAATTTCTATTGCTTGCGTAATTGTTGTTAGGGTTAGGGTTAGGGTTAGGGTTAGGGTTTGGGGTTGGGTTCGTCAATGCCTGTGAGGCTTCCATTTCCAATCTACTACTCCTTAACGATGTGGTTTATTTTTGGAGCCAAAGTGACGAGATTTGCCTCCGGGGACGACGCTTTCGCTTTCCCCTTTCTTTGCGGAGTTGAACAGAATAAGGCTGAAAAACTAAAACCAAAAATCAAACGGCGTCGTTTTGGGAAAACTAAATACACTACCGTGTTGAATTAATTTAACCAGTATTTTTTTTTTCTCATCTATAAGAAACAATTAAATTTGACCTACGCTCTTTCGTACTCTAGTTCGGTGGACAACTATTTTATGTCTTAAAAAAAATTGAAGTATATATTTGGAAATAAAAAGATTGCTTTGTGGGTGATTGCTGTAAGCTATTCATTGATGCCATGACAATTTATTTATGTCATAAAAAAAAATTATTGAAGGAGTGAATGGGAAAAACAAAGTTTTATGCATGAAGCAATTTTGTGGCTTTACACTCCCATTTCTGTTCTTAAACACTTGCTATTTTTTTGTGCTTGCGTCATTTTTTTCATCAGATTAGTTTTTTGCTGTTTTTTCTTGAATCAAGGCTGCATTTTTTTTCATTTTTTCATTTTTTCATTGGACGGGTGTTTGTTTTTCTTCTTGCTTCTTTAGATGAGTTTTTATTTGTTTTTTTAAAAGGGAATTTTTGGGCTGTTTGGTTCTTGTGGTAAGGCTTGGTTTTTGCTATTATCATAATATATAGATATATGAACTTATCATTAGATACAATAAGAGGAATCGCTAGTAATTTTTTATTTTTAGGTATAATTAGTCACTTAATTGAATCTATTTTATTTTTAAAAAAATTTAAAAGTTAATTTAAGTATTTTTAAAATGTAGATTCCAGTCAGTAAAATCATATTTAAGTTTGGGAGTACAGTTATGCATAAAAAATATTATAGCATCTTTATAGTGTCCATAAAAAAAATGGTACCAATTTGATTTTGTATTATCCAAGTTTTAAAACATCTTCATAATTTATCAAATAATTTAATTATTAAAAATTAATCTTAAAATTACTTCAATAGTTTGGTAGTAATTTAAGATAATCTTCTTACTTCATAAATATTTATGAAGATTAGTGTCTCACTTTGAAAAGACTTCACCATGGGATTTATTAATGTATTTTCCATGAGTTAATTATTTTTGAAAACAATCAATAAAATCCTTCAATAGTTTGATTGTATTTTATTTTGATACACATTCCCTACTAGTATGGTGAGATTTTTTTATTCAAAAAATTTATCCATGAAATTTAAAAAGAGTCATTAAATCTTCTAATAGTTTGGCAAGATTTAACTTGAGATTTAAATCTTTTAATAGTTTGGTAAGATTTAAAATTTTTATTTTTTCATAAAAACACATTAAGTTTTCTAATAGTTTGATAAAATTTAATTTAGAGATTTAAATACTCAAACAATTTGATATAATTGATTTAAAATATTTTTACTAAATTCTCTTATGAAATTGTCAAATATGTTGACAGAATTTTTTTTTTCAAAAGTGATTTTCAAAAATTAAATTTTAAAACAATAATCAATGTGAATAATTCGCACTAAAAAACTAAAAAATTTACAAACTTTAGATTAAAACCAAAAGAAGTTCAAAGCTGTGTGGATCTTAACAAATGAGCTTGATTTTCAAGCCTAACCAATAGTCCAAGGTTGATTCAACACAGGCCAAGTTTGCTTGTAAATTAGGTCTTTCTTCTAGGTCAAGTAATGGTTTGGATCACTTTATTTAAATTCTTTTCTCTTAAAAAGGTCCATTTTTGCTTCTTTAAAAAAAAAAAAAAAGCAAACCATCTCATTATGCTCTTATTTCCATTTTACACATTAGCCTATCTCTCTAAGTTTTCGTTTCTCTAACCTCTTTTTAGCCATCGCCAATTTCAAGTGACCCAAAAATAGGTGATCACACTGTCGCTACTATCGTCATATGTCACCAATCATTGTCATCGAAATTGTTCCAAAAAACCTTCACAAGCTCACTTTAACCTTTCCTTTCACTTTTTCGTGTCGATTTTCTTTGAAATCACTTGAAATGATCTAAATTTGCAAGTTTAGTCTATAGTTTCAAACTTTGAAAAAGTCATTTTCTCGTTATCCGATCTTTTCAAGTTTTCAGTATGTCAATGACCTCCCCATGCTCTTTCTCATTGTGGGTCCCAATCTCTCAAGTCATATTGGCTGCCGTCAACCACCATAATTGCCGTCGTTATGAATCACCATCGATCTTCCCTGATAGTTATCGCTGGTTCTTTTTTATTTGATACTAAAGGTGTAAATGATACATTAGTGCTCGTAAGTTGTTCGGGTTTGATTTAAATAAAAATCAAATTTAGCTTGGTTATTATCGAATCTAGCTTGAGCTCGAGTAGCTTGACTTTTTAATCGAGTCAAGTTTGAGCATTTTTATACCTGACTTGAGTTACTCGCAAGCCTAATCAAGTTTTTATATTTTAATAAATTTTAATTATTTCAATTGATAAAATATTTCGAATTCGAGTTCGAGCATAAATAATCAATTTTTTATCGAATATAAGAATCGAACTTATTTTTACATGTTAATCGAGCCTAATCAAGCGAACTTAAGTAGCTTGATTTCTATATCAAGTTGAGCTCGAGTTAAAAAAATAAAACTTGATCAAGCTCGAGCTGAGTTTCAAGTCTTAAATTTAGGGTCGAGCTCGAGTTCGAGCTTAATACTGTATCGACTCGAACTCGATCGATTACACTTTTATTTGGTATAACCCAAAAAGAAAAAATAAACTCATATTTATTGTTGCTAAAATGTTTTTTTTTTCTTTTCAAATTGATGGTCTATGTTGATGAGATGACCTTTTCAGAGGTAATTATTTTTGCAATTTAGGATTTTTATGATGAGGTTTTTGTGTTGTTGATTATTTTAAATATGGCTTTTATGGGTATATTTGGGTTTAGTGGGTTAGGTCTGTTGATCGTTGAAAATCATGTGTTGTTGTTTAGTTGGTAATGGAGAAGATTTGAGGGTTGGGATTTTTCCTTTTTAAGGCTTGAAACATCAGTTACAATCTGTGAAAAAGACCTTTGAGCATTTCTGCTAACAGTAGGTGCTATGAAGTTCAAGCAAAATGGTGGAGATGGGGCAATTAGAGACAGATGGTAGGGGGATAGCAAGTGGTGGACTGTGTCAGTAAGGATGGATTGGTGTTAATGTGGCAGCTAGAGGTAATGGTAGTACTAGACTGGTGGTTTCATACAATGGTGGTGGAAATGTTGCTCTTGTTGGCTAAGTATGGTCTAGCTATTAGGAAGTGGGGTTGAAAAATTGAATGCAGCGAGAATTTAACTGATGGCCACGGTGTCTCAAATGGTGGTCATATTGGGTTGTATAGGTGGCTTAGATTTATATAGGTAGGAAAGTTTAGCAATATTATTGCTTGCCGATACTTGCTATATTTTTAGGTGCCAATGGTTGCCTTCTCTCAATGTTTTCTATTAATTTTTTTATGTTCTCTGCTGTGAATTGTAGGTTTATTTATAGGCGAAGACTGGCAGAATCCCTGATCATTTAACATTTTTCCAAAATTTTGCATTATCATGGATAGAAAATCAACCTTTATTTTTGTAAAATTAAATCTCAACCAATTTTGATAAAACCAATCTCATCACCAACCAATTATCCTCTTTTTTTAAATATTTAAATAAAATGTTTTAAAAAAATGAGATAAGCGGAATGGATAACAAATAAAAAAAATTAATAACAATAAAAAGTAAAATAAAAATAAAACTAAAAGAACAAAAATGATAAATAAAATTTAAAAGAATTATATATATACACATAGATAAATACAATAAAAAAAATAAAGGATAAAGATTAATGATAAAATATAAAAAACAAAATTCGACAATTAAGCTTGAATCAAGTTTTAGCTCAACTAATTTGAGCCATGAACTAAATAGGGTGTCTACAGTTACTCATTTTTGCACAGTTTTTATGAAATAAGAATTGTGTAAAGATATAGACTCCATTATGTCCGAGCATGAAAATGAAATTATTTGGACTTAATTGAAGTTCAAAATAAAATGACTTGGACAGAGTCAAAAGTTTCAAAAAATGATAACTTGTACTAAGCCAAAAGTTGAAAATTGATGACTTAGATTTAGTCATAGTCAGAAAATGATATTGACTTGGTCTTAGCCAAAGTTCAAAACTGATGACTTAAACTTAGCTAAAGTTAGAAAATGATATGATTTGGTCTTACTTTAGGTTTGAAAATAAAATGACTTGTTCTTAGTTAAAGTCAAAAAGTGATATACTTGACTTAACTAAGGTTAAAATGAAGGTTATTAAACTAAACCCAGGTCAAAGCTGAAGGTAATTAGATTGAGCTAAGGTCAAAGATGAAGGTGACCGGACTGAGCCAAAATAAAAAAAATGAAGGTGACTAGATTAAGTCAAGATTGAAGATGACTTGGTTTGAGCTTAAGTCGAAATGAAGATGACCAGACTAAGCTGAGATAAAAAATGACATGATCTGAGCCTAAGTCAAAATAATAATGACTAGACTAAGCTAAGATTGAAAATGACATGGTCTGAGCCTAAGTTAGAATGAAGATGACGGGACTGAGCCAAGATAGAAGATGATTTAGTCTAAGCCTAAGTCGAAGTAAAGATGACCAGACTAAGCCATGGTAAAAAATGACTTACTCTATGCCTAAGTTAGAATGAAGATAACCTGACTGAGCCAAGATCGAAAATGATTTGGATTGAGCATAAGTCAAAATGTAAAGTCAAAAGATTTTGAAAATAAATACCCATAGGTTTAAAGATTATACTCGAAGGTGTTAAAGCTTATATTCGAAAGTCTTATAGATTTTGCACAAAAGCCTTACAAATCTTACTTATAAAATATACTCATTGAGACAGAGGCCAAAAACTCTTCGTAAATTTAAAAACTTTCTTTTGAAATGTTTCTTGAAACTTTTAAATCAAAGATTATCTTTTGAAAATTTGTTCTCAACTGAGGGTTTACAAGTTCAAAATTTCTTTACTTGAAAAATTCTCAACCTTTCGCTAATTTCAATTTCAAAGTCAAAACTTCTTGTTTGTAATGTATGCAATGAATGTCATGAAGGCGATGCATGAAATATAATGGATGCATCCATAATTCTGGTAAAAAGGTTCTCAAGGCTTTTTTTTTTTTTTT